ACAGTACAATTTCTGATATAGCAGCCCAAGTGTACTATAACAGTACAGACTATGCAGAACCGTTTATTCGGTCTCTGAATCACAATGCGATGAGTAATACTGTAGAAACGCTCGGCAGAATAGCTGTTGCCGCAAATAAATCAAGTGCACTCATTTACGACTACCGTACACCCACAAAGCACAACGCGAAGTCGTTGGCCCTGTGCCGCAAGTAAGCTAGCTTTTCTGTTCCATTCTTCGCACGGTTACACTGGGTTACGATCCTTTTACGACACTTGGTCTGAAAGCGAGACTTCCCTCAACGAAGAAAGCTTTCGCCGTTGATCAAACCTTTTCCGAGATACGACACGCGTACGACTTCTGCATAAAAACAGCTATGACTCTCTGAATTCGATATGGGTTACAATGGTTTGCGCAAGTAAGTCCAATACGGCGCCACTACATGCCAACCTGGCGACACCATGTTCTTGAACGAAATTGATTTAAGCTTATATGCTAGAAATACGACATTCCCTCTCGGCATCGGTGTTATTTCCCACAAGAATCGTGTTGGATCCACCACTTTTTTCACAAAAATTCAAATAAATTGCACAATAGGGTTGTATGGTGTCCTGATTACGGATATGGCAAACTTTTAGTGCAAGTGCTCACGTAGAGTGCACTTGTCGTCCGCACTCGGTTCGTAAGCTGGGCTCGGGGTGTGGAGAAATTCTCTCACTATCCCATGCTCAACCTTAGCAGAGAGGAAAGAAAAGTCGTATGACCGGGCCACTCAACTAAACACAATTCCAGCTACTAAGTGTTACGGGTAGTGGGGTTATGAATGGCCGATAAGTGACCTCCCAGTTGAGAAGCGAGAAAAAACTTCAGAACACCCAGCGAAACCCTCCCTGATAGCTACACAGCTTCGTTGTACTTTCCTTCGGACTTGCTGACACTCGGAACCCCGTGGCCTGTGCCAACCCCTGGATTACAAATCGTTTCTTCGCGTCAGCCAGTGCTGAATGCCACTCACTAGAAAAAGCAAAAAAAAACAAACTGAAAAAAGCTCTCGAAAGCTGTGCGCATGAAATTAGGGCTGCGGTAAGTAACGAACGAAAATGCCCAAACGCAACTTGCTAGCGAAGTAGGCTGCTACTGACTTGCTGTTCAAAAAGTATCATGCGAAGGCAGAACAACTCGTGAGCTCGCTAACATTCGACAAACTTAGGTTCTCTCCGACGAGCATACGAAATCACCCTGCGACGCTGCAGGCAACAGAATGCATACACGTAATTCAGCGTGTTAGTCGTTGTCTTGCAGGCTGAACGGTACAAAAATCACGGGAGACGGGCAAGAGAATCATAAATTGCCGCTTTGTCGCGCGCGGCAATTGGCGTTTCCTTGACTTGCACTACCCTTTCGATTGGAGCATCGGATTTCATGTAGACAAGGACATGGTAGACACTTATGTCTATTTTTGGTCATACATTGTCTATTCTCGACCAATACCACCTAAAATCGTCGTCATTAGCGGGCGCAGCGTCGCACGTGACGCCCACTGGCGCGGCGAATTCTCTTGCTATATACCCCAAAAATCACAAGAGCACGCGTCCGTTGCCGCTTTATGGAACTGTCGTCAACCTCAACTGTAAAAAAGTATCTAGTTTGGTAGGAAAAGTCATGAATTCAAGTCGTCTATTCTGGAGCCATATGACAGCGCAGTGAAAGGTGAATCTTATATTCGTAAAGAGAGCACTGAATAACCCCTATGGCCACAGTTTCAGCAAAAAAAGCTGCATTAAGACCATACGCTGTTAATTTACAGCATATTCATGTTTCTTGCATTGCTTACACAATTCAGCTGCGAGAAGTCAAAGACATTTCTCGCGATCAAGTGTAGTAGGTGCTCAATCATGAACCAGTAGCCCATAGGTAACTCTAGAGAAAGATTCGGGAAAAGAAAACGGGGAACTTTCTGAACAGAAACCCCCTTAGCAGTGGGGCCGGCCCCTTGGACGAGTTTGTCGGACGTCGGCAAGTCCATCAGAGGGACCCTACAACGCTCCAGGTAACGCTATGTACACACGCGACCCCCACTTGTAAGCCGTTGTCTTGCAAAGTGAAAGTAATCGTGGTTGCAATGGTTGCAATAATCACGCGTCTCTAGCTTCTTTATCTCGCCGTTTCGAGTGACGAAAGTGGTATATTCTCTGCGAATGCGGACAACGAATTCCAAATGCACAGAGGCATTTAGCGCACCACTTTATCGCGGGAACTCTGTGAACATTCAGTGACTCTCTTCTCTACTGAAGGGGAAAAACGATTTAAAATTGAATGGAAAATTGAAAAAAAGGAAACCATACGAAAGATCGAACACAAAATCTGGCCGTTTCATCCATGATGTTGGAGCACATTTGAAGTCCAGAGGGGGTTTGAGCATCTATACATACGTATTTCACAGAGGAGGTCATGCAGATGGTATCACATTAAACTATGACATTCAGCAGCATTTCGGTGCAAAAACACTGTGAACAAAGCCTGCAACGTCGAAAGCATCCAGTTAGGTGGCATTACGCAACGGAGCTGTCAATAAACAACCCTAACAAAGACTCGAAATGAAACAATTAGGACTTGTTTTTCATGCCGTTGTAAACACCCCATGAACAGACAACTCATAAATCAATCGAAGGCCACATTTGGAGTACCGGCTGTAAAGTACTTCCAGTCATTTTCAAGTGATTTTCGAATCAATTTTTCACCTCTCTACCGGCCAAACCGATCCCTGATTCATTTCCAATAGCTATAGACTGGTTACATATAGCTAGATCTTGCAAGAACCTAGCCCTAATCAGGCTCGAACCTATTAGTCTCTATTCCCGGCTAACGGCGAAGTTATGTCATAGCTAGTTTAGACCTTGTTTCGGCGCATAGCCATCAATTTGTCTTGAAGGGAGACGATGTCATTCAATCATTTTATATTAGACAAGCAGGACAAGCTTTCGTCAGTTGGAATCAAATTCTTGCAAGCAAGAATTACTTGCATTCCTCTCCGAAAGATCAATAAAATGGTCAGAAAAAGTAGGAGGAGAACCGAGTAATTTCCTGAAACGACCCATGGAGGCCTCGGCTTCAGCTTCGTCTCCCTATATCTCTTAAGCTCTCTGATGTTCCACCCACAATGCCAGGTGGCAGAAAAATGATTGTTTTTTAACAAAAATGAATTCTCATGAATTTTGAATGCTCCACTGTGTCGTAAAAGTTTGGTCAAAGCAAAAATACTTACTTTAGATAAATCAGTGAAGTAAACTATTAGAAGGGTAAACATCTAACAGTCAAGAAATGGTTGAAAGACGGGTCCTGAAGAGCGCCGTTAGCAAACTGAATCATTCAGGGCGTGCTCCCTGCGACCAGTCGGAGGATTAACCTGATAAGAATTCACCAGCTGAAAGAGCGATCGGGAAACCGTTTCTCTTAATCA